GCTGTCTGCTCATCTGTATGAGTGCTAATCCAAATGCATTGTTTGTCTGAGAAATTTTTTTAAGAATTTAGAATTGATATATTTTTCGCTCTTATTCTTAGTGGGAATCATTTAACGACTAGCCTGTTCAGCCACCTGTGTTTCAGGTATACATCTATAAAGGTTTTCACAGGATGTTAGTACGTTCTGTGTATACTTATGAGTTTTGGTAGAGTCAAAAAGTATCACTGAGGAATGATGGAAAGCATAGGTGAACTTTTCTAGTCACTCTTTAAACTGTTGTTGCCAAAAGGCTCAGTGAATTTATGGTCTTCATGCAAAAAGTTGTTCTTTCTGATTGTTTCAGCAAAAGACCAATTCAATATGGGAGCTGAATGCCATTTTTAATGCTACTATTTTTCATTACCGATTACTTACCTCAAATTTGGCCTGCTAAAATAAGATTCCTTTTGGTCATAAATAAATCATTTATGAAATGTTAAAGTCAATTATATTTTTAAATCAGGAAGAACATTTGGCTTTGAAGATGAGTTTCAGATTAGAAGTCTCTGAATTGAGAACTTAATTTTTTGCAAGTCTTTTTTTTTTAAAAAAAAAAAAAAACAACTCTCCAGGTAAGGATTTTATAATTAACATTTAAATAAATAAATAATTCTAGTAGAACTTTCATGGGTTACATGCATGACCTCTGGTATGGCTTTTCCTGTTCCTCATATTTACAACATATATGCTCTCCACATTTATAATGGTCTTGAGGCTGTTTGTCATCTATTTGGTTAAAATGCATTACAGAAATCACAGATTGCTCATTCAGTGTTCCTCTTTTTCATAGCATTCTCCTGTTATCTCTTATTTTTCATTTTTTAATTTTTTTACTTCAAGACATTACTTGTGGTTTTAGGTAACTAAAATGATAGGTCATTTTGAGAGGATGGAGCAATAAATCTTTTCTCCCTTTTCTTCTAATTTATTCTATGTATAGTATGTATGTCTATGTATGTCTTTCTTAGAAGTACTTTTAAGCCTTGCTTATTAATTTCAAGTTAAAAGAAAAAGGATGATGTATATTAGAAAAAATATATATACATTAAAATGTTTTACAGGAAAATTTAGCAAAGGGCAAAATAAATTACATTAGCAAGTGCAAGTAAATAAAAGCACTTCACTTCCCAATGAAAGAATAGCAATAAACAGGCACAGAAAACAATCAATTCTCTGAAGTTTGATAAAACAGAATAAATTCTTACACAGTCCTGTTACATCTTTCTCAACCAATACCTCTGAAGTTATTGATCCCACTTGAAATTGAAATTGAGAGAGGAATTGAGAAATAGGAAAACATAACTCAGTTCTGTTGTAAAAAAAAATACAAGGAGATCTTAAAATAGTGACTACTTCCAGAAAATCTACTGCAGTGATAAATAGCGTGCACTATGTTCTTTTCCCAAGGAAAAATATAATGTTATGAAATACAGTGTACAGTGTGCTAAGACTAGAAAGATTTATTAATATTTACTGGTGAGAAAGACACCACAGGGATCTAGAAGAGATTCAAACTTTTTCTGATGACTTCTTAAAAATGTTTACAATTAATTTGATTCGTTAGTAGAATAAAATCATTTCTGAACAAAAAAGATGATGCTAAAGCTGCGTGGTGCCACTCCTGCTTTTACCAGAAAGTGCTCTCAAGTGCTGAATAATGGGAGGATGAAGTTAGATATAGATTTGAAATCATTGTAACTTTTAACTCAGCTTCTGTGAAAGAGGAAAGAAGGTTTTCTCTCTCAGTCAGATATTTTTTCTCTGAAGGTAGCAGTTTTCAAATTTATGTCATGAAAAGTTCTTCTTATGCATAATAAATTTTTTTTTTTTTTACTTCATCATTATCTGATAGAAAACAAATGCTAAAAGGGAGGAATATCTAGGTTAGTAACATGTTTCTACAGTGTTGGGTGTGCCTGCAAAACCAATGCATAGATATTCTAAAACGCACATTGACTTCCTAGTTGAATGTTCTTTGCTACATGTAAATGTTAACATTTTAAATAGCATTAAATATGAAGCATATGAAATATCCAGGTAATACTGCAGTGTCTGAAAGATTCTGAATACATCAGCTGTTGTTTGGCATTTTATGAGCTTTGCAGGATCCACACTACCCAAAGTAATCAGCTGCTTTGTGGAAGTGAAGGCAGAAAGGAAAGTATGGAAACAGAATGATTCAGAGAGGTGGAGAAGTCCCACATAGAAAACATCCAACACAGAGATAGTAGGGAAAAAAGCTGTGGGATTTATTGAGGAGAGGGGAAGGAGGATGATGGGCCAGTGTCGTTGGTCCACGTCTGCTCAGCTTCTGTTCTTCAGGGTTTTTAGTCATGTAAAAAGAAGAAAAGAAATTCTCAGAGGAAATGAAGTCCTCTAGAATGCAGCTACTATATTATTGTAAATAGTTTAGTGATGAGAAAGGTTTTTTTCATAGCATTGTAGATATTTTAATGTATGTTTTTAGAAGTCATTATGCTAAAAATAAATGACAAGACAGCTTAAAATTGGAGACGTATGTATTTCTTTGCTCCCTTGCTTACACCCAAAGTCTTCACGCAATTGGTTCTCAGAAACCAATCTAACCCTAAATATTCACACTTCTTCAGTATATCCAGTAGCAGGACATTACACATAAATGATAAGCTTGTTATGAAATATTGCCTACCTTTTTGTTTGGATTTATATTTTTATATTCAATGAATATCTTTACCTTAACAAAATTACCATATATTACCAATACCATAAATTGCTCTTCAAGGCAAGGACGCAGTCTTATGTAGCTTAAAAAATATACATTATACCAATTAATGGTGTTTTTCTGATCCTTTCATATCATTGTCATAAGTGGTAGAAAATTGTCTGAAGCGTAAGGAAGGTAGTATCTTCCAAAGATCGTTTATAAACCTTGGAAACATTTCTCCCCTCCCATCCACAAAATTCCCTTCCCTGAAGCCCTAACCAATTCATTAGTTCATTGCAAACAAAGAAGTCTTTCTGGTAAGAGGATTTAAATGAAAACAACTCACCCTTCACTAAGATAGTGGTAATGATGATTCCCTAAAGGAAGCAGTCCAAAAGTTTTCGGGTGCACCACAGCTGCTGCTAGTGGAAGAAATCTGCCTTTCAGTTTGTGTAGGACAAGATTTACTCAAGTGCTTTCTGTACTGTTAAAAGATTTTCTTTTGTGTATAATATGGATGATTTAGAAGAAGCTGTGTCAGCACTGATTTATACATTGACAGCTAAGGATAATAAGATATGGGCAAACATACAGCTCACCCTTTTACAGATTAACCTGCAGACTGCATTAGGCAAATTCAATGGCATTAAAAGATTTTTCCAATTTGTCTGGAAACAATTTCTCTTTTGTATTGTGTCAAGGGTAGCATTTCATGACATTGTACTAATTTAAATAGCTGTGATAAATTGTTGAAGAGGTTAGAAAATTGTACTTTGTATATATTTTACCTGTATAAAATAAAAAGTCTATTAACTTAATTGTTAAATGAAATTAATTAGTAAAATGAAAAGAGCCTCAGTAAGCAGGCTTAAATATTCCAGCACTGCAGCACTAGTGCTATAACACTGCACCAAAATTATTAAAGATTATATTAAGGAAATTATAGTTTGCATTTCAATGTAACTTTCAGTACACAGAAACACAGACTGCTGTAGAAGTAATATTTTATTCTGCATAGTAGTAATTCAGATGAAAAATGTGGATGAAGCTAGAACTTTAAAGAAGTTGGTATGTTGAACTCAACAGTGGATGTGATGATTTATTAATAAAGTAAAAGGTTATCGTAGGTTCAGAAGAATCACAGAAGAAGCTTTAGTAAACACCTCATTAGCCCTAGTAGCTAATACATGATTGGAGATAGAAAGGACAGAGTTCATTTGTATTTTGTTCATTCACTTGCTATTGTTCACACACATTTGTCCCTATATATTATCTGTTACTGGTATGAGGTTTGAAGATCTTTTTGAAGTGAGGTTGTGTTTTTTTGCATATTTACAGGAATTATAGTCAATATCTATATGAGAAACTTATAAACACTGGGATTTTGTATTTGCATAGTGTTTAATTTCAGCATACTGTTTTTAAATTGTGCTATATGTACTGTATCAATGTTATGGATTGAAAAAGTAATAGAATTCTTCAGAGAAATGAATGTAAATTTTTCATAACTTAATACTTAAAGATTAATAATGTATGGGATGGATTGCTGAGTTTTATGTCCAGAATTCAAGGGCTCCGTGACAATATCCTATCTGCAAACAACTGCAGAAAGCACAAACTATGCAGAAAATTGCACGCTGAAGCTTCTAGTAGAAATGCTAGTTTGATTTGGAGCAGAATTAAAGGATATAGCTGTGTATGTAAATATCTTGGATGCTAATATTTCTGCATTGGGAAATAGTGGAGAAGTTGATGGCTGTTAACGCCCCTCCTTGCCCCTACACCAACCATCTGAGGCAGATGCACCCCTAAAAGTGGTCCCTCGCTCACGGCTGCCAGGGCGCAGGGAATTAACATGCAGCTGGGCTGCTCTGATAAATGGATTCTGTTAGGTCACCGAGGGGATGCGTGTGACATTAAGTGATTTACCGTCCTTTACCTTAATGAAATTGTTTCAGCAAGATGACGCTGAGAGCTTTTAATGGATAGCTTTTCTTGATGTAATGAAATTGCATTCCTTTGGCATTTAATATAAGGTGCAGTTATTATTTACTGGAGCTCTCCTGGAGCTGCTGTTTTGCGCAGACAGTTCAGAACAAAAAGAGATTTCTGTGGCAGCATCCAGGCCGGCATGGTGTCTGACAGTCCTAAGCACGCGAGCATGTTTGTGAGAGTGTTTCGGTTTGTGTGGCCATGCACACCCATAGGAGGCTTGCTCCACACGCACTGCCAGCGCTCAGCTCCTTTACAAATACCGTCCTAATCTGTTTAACAGGCAACTGGATTACAACCAGATCAGCTGTATTGAAGATGGGGCATTTAGGGCTCTACGCGACCTGGAAGTGCTGTAAGTACTGCTTCTATCTCTGACTTTTAGCAAGAGCTCGGTATCTGGGGAGTACTAATGTAAAAGCTTATCTGTGAGCTGCAAGTCTGGTGTCAGAATTGTCTGGTGAAAAGATGTCTTAAAATGATCCACTGCGATGTGCTATATAATGGTAAAAATGTCAGGGGAGACGGAGATGCTCCTTTAATCTGCCAGGCAACCATAACAAACAATTAAAAAAAAAAAAAAAAAAAAAGCAGATGATAGATACTGTAAAAAAATAATAAATATTTCCTTTTAAAATGGAGAGAGGAGTATTAATGAATCCAATTATTTTGTAAATGATACATCATTGCTGAGGTGCTGAACATTTCCATGATTGCCTTTGTTGTACAGTCTGACATCAGTTTGATTGTCCAGCCTCTCTACTTAAGGAACAATATACTAAATATATCTGACAATCTAGGTGTTTTCAGAGAGGCACTTCCCTAGCGAACAGTGCGGTATGTGGTGAGAGGTTTAGCCTGTCTATGTTATGTGGATTTTTAAAGATTTTAATTTTTCTGTGTATGCATATAGAAACAGAAACATGTTTGTATGCCATTTCAGGTTTTTATTGCAATTATATTTCTGTATACTTTTTTTCTCACTGTTGTCATTGGTGAGGTAAAAGGTAACAAAATTATCATCAGTGACACCCAACCTCAAAACAGTCAGGATAATGAACAAAGTGTCTCTGTTCCCAAAGAATTTAAGACAGCACACATTCCTGAAATATTTTCTGTCAGTGAAAATGTCACTTTTTTTTTTTTTTTTTTTTTTGGCATTAAAGGAAGTGAAAGACTGCATATCAGTGGGTTACTGCATGTTAGTCTGAATTAAGCTTGGTAAATCACACTCTATGGGGTGGGAGGAAGGTTGGTTATTTTCTTCTAGGTTTCTGAAGTAAAAAAGCTTTTCGACAGATAATGTCTGTATATCCATGCAACTAAGAATGTAGGAGCTGCTGGCAGGAAAGTTTCATATAACAAGCAATAATTGCCTTTTTTTTTTTTTTTTAACAGTATAATCTTAGCATAACAAAACTGTTGTTAACTTTCTGGTACAAATCCATGTGAAACATACTGTAGGTTCAATATGGAGTCTAATTGTAAATCTGATAAATTGTTGGTTTTCTATAGGTAAACCTGATGTTCTGGGAAGTTTTTATCTTTGGTACTCATATACATAGAAGAATTTTCTAGTGATGGCTTAGTCTGGTTATCATGTTTTTTAATATGAGCCTTCTTTTACATATAGAAATGTTAGATGTATGTATATATTAATACTAGCATTACTAGCATACAGTCTTTAATGCTTGCATGTTTTAGTAGTCTGAAAAGGTCATCCATGCCAGTTGAAGGAGGTGGTAAAAATTTCACACTGATTTCGATTAATGCAAAAGGGAACAAAACTGTTAGAGAAATCGTCTACTGAAAAATAGGTTGTTAGAACTTTTCAAATTTACTAAGACTGCTACCATTATTCAGTATAAAATCTATCTCAAATTATGTGTGATAAGCAACAGATGTTGAGAAAATATTTTTTGAGATATTTTGAGCAATACTGAAAAGTATGTATCTAATGTGACTTCTTTTCCAATATAGCTTAAGTAATGAAAACTGTGTAAATCACACCATTGTATAAATGCAGAGTACTGTATAAGACTACATGTTTTGTTTTCATTTGAAGTTGATTATTCTAAGCACAGAATTTTTATACGACTTCAAATTATATGATGAAGCTTTTAAATAATTTTTAAATTTACATGGTCTGAAACCCCACTTAGTCACAATTTGAAACATTTACCAAGGTAACATGACTTACATATCGGTTAAATAATTGAAGAATCCTAGAGACTATTAATGTTAATGATACAAAATTCATCTAAATTGAGACAATTCTGAAGTGTGAAAGTAGGTACAGATATAATCCTCTCAACTTGTTAATTCACTAGCAGATTTATGTGAAATTTTGTTTTTCAGTTTTCTTTTCCTAAAAGAAAATCAGTTACACTGGGGAAACTGTGACTACAAGAAAATATAATGTAATGTAACTTGCTGCCATATTCAAGAAATATGTTTCTATCATCATACTCTTTGCAATAGCATGTAACAGTTTTAGGTAAAAGTATTGACTGAGCTCTTCTGGTTTTGCTTTGATTATAGCTTTGCTATGAAATTCAGCATTTTGGATCACAACAGTTATAAAAATGACTTAATTCCTTATGTGTTCATGCATCTACTCCTGATAGAAGAGGGTTTAGAAATAGGTGATTACTAAGATCCCTTCTAGCCCAAGTCATTCTTTGATTGTATGAAGTCAAACATGAAACATATGAAATTTAAAATTAAAAACTTCTAGATGTTCTTTAAACAGCTGACAGCTATGGAAATATATACTTACCTTCATTCCCTTCATTGAAAGAGAGGATTTTTAAAACCTTGAAAGAAGTCATGCATGAAGACAGTGATGAGAACTGTCATTTAGCATGTCAACATTAAGAAAATCCTGCAAAAGTCTGCTGGCTGTCATTTATTCATTAAGGCATACAATTGGAATTTTTTTTGCTTATTATTATTCCATTTTCATAAAAAATAATGATCTCCCCAATTTTTTATTTCTATTGATTAATCTTTTTGCTTATGTAGCCCTGAGGGCACACAGGGGAGATGTCTTATGCACAGTGAAGAAACCATATAGGATTTGGAATGAGTAAGCACAGAAATTGTTTGGCTAATGTGGAGGCATATAGCCTGACCAAGGGTGCTATGAATTTACCTTTCTCTGTTTCAAGATCACAGAGTTCTTTACTCAAAATACACACAAATTACACCTTGTGGTTTAAAAATGTAAAGAAAGAAAGTAAAACCTTACTGCTTCAAAAGGACAGTGGGAATTATTTAGTATTAGTGTCATAATTGTGTTTAAAAATGCAGAGCACATTCTCTGTTGTAGTCAAGTGAGTAATCTCTAAGTAGAAACTGTAAATTCTGGCACTTATTTCCTTGTACTCAAGTCAAGCTTGTTCACATTTTATTTGCAGCCTAAAGACAACAGTTAGCTGCAGGATCATTCATAAAGTTTCATCATCTTTACAGACTACACTTCCTGTGCATGATGGTTCTGTGCTAGCCAATAATTGGCTGAGATTTATTCCTAGTTTCTGTCTCAGGTCCCAGGCATTTTGTCCAAAACATAAATTATTTGCTAGAGCATTAAGATGCCTACCTCCTTGCACTGTATAGCAGAAGGTCACCTATTGTTCATGCTGCCCTGGATCATCTGCAGCAGCACTGTTCCATACAAGAACTGACCACAGTTTACTTCAGAAGATTCTTGGGAAAAAGAATAGGCAGGTCTTTAACTTGCATCCTCTGTCAAAAAGTATGGGCTCTCAGAAGCTAGAAAAAGAAACTGCTGCCCTAAAACCCAGGACTTTTCTCCAGGAATACTCTGAAACTATTTTTCCTTACACAGGATGACAGTCTTAGCTTTAATGCCATAGATGTTCTCAGTATTAGTGGAAGCTCTGTTTCAGTCCTCTCTTTGAGTTAATCATAGGTTATTGAGGCCTCTGATTACTTATGATTATTAATGGGATGGTTAAACCACCGTGTTTTAGCAGGGAATTGAATATGGAGTCAAGTGTTAGGATTTGTTTTCCTCATAGCCATTCCTAAAAGCAGAGCAGAGTTCTCTTCGTTTACTATGCCTTTGAAAAAAAAGTGCAGTCAATGTGACATAAATAATGGTAACATGTTAATATCCTTCTTAATTTTGCAGTACTCTCAACAACAATAACATCACTCGACTGTCCGTCGCAAGTTTCAATCATATGCCCAAACTCAGAACTTTGTAAGTAGTCCCATGGAAACTGACTGCCATTGTTATGAACCCAGTATGTTCAGTATACCATTTTCCCTCAACCAACTTCTGCCAGTGGTCTGTAAATAGTTACACATGCATGGAAGTTATAAGCTCTGTCAAAACAGTAATATTGAGATTTCTAAGTGTGAAGTGTGTGTGGCAGATAATTCTGAAAGGTGAAACCCGAAAGCTAATTCTTGTGGCTCAGGAGATAGAGAGGCAGTTGTAGCGTTTTCATTCTGTTTCTTCAGGATAGGATGATGGAAATGTTTTCATGGTCTTTTCCTAACTGGATGTTTCATAGTGCACTGTTTGATCACAGAAAAGTTTCCGTAGAAAAGATGGAGACAGAAGGGATTCTCTTCTATATGTTACGGCTGCATAGCGAAATAAATTGATGTTTTTTGAAAGTCAAAAATTTGTTTTACTTTGAGCTATTGAATGGGTCACATTTCATTTAGCAACATGGAAGAATCTTTGATTGGCTGTCAGATGTGATAAATGGGAAATCTTTATGCTTTTATTACTGTACTGCTAGCAGACCTAATTAAACTAAACTGGCTTTTCAACATTCTTTGTAACATAAAATTATAGCATCATCCGGTAGTGCTATTATAATTAAAGTTGTGTCAGCATTTACAATAAGGTCCCCATTTTTAGAGGTTATGACTTTCACAGACGAACACTTGAAGCTTCTAAAACAAAACAGTGAAAAGACTGTGTGCAAGAGATACAATTTGGGGTTATTTGTTCTGTTTATATTCAGCTAACAATAAATGTACATGGTGTTAAGCAACAAAGCTAGACTCTGTCAAAGTTTAGTCCTGAGATACTTTCAAACAGGCTTTCCAGTGAAGTGGAAATAAAGTCAGTGGGGCTAGTCACTTGAGTTAGCATTTGTAACTGAAATAACATAATTCAGATGAGTAGTTCTGTTGATTTCATAACCGAATTATAGCTACTCTTACATGGACAAATACAAGAGCTCTTGAATTGTGCTGAGCATTGGCTTTTGGTGGCCTCAGTTATATTTTGAGAATAGAATTTCATTCCATTTCATTCTCTTGTGTCTGGCACCTGAAAACATTAATATCCATCTGTTCCTCTTTCAGACTTTGAAATCCAGCTTGTATTCTGAAGCGCAGATTACAGTGAATCAAATTAGCAAATTTTTTTAAAACTTAAACTTCTTTTGTGGATATTTCACTTTTTAAAAAATCATTTTCTAAGCAAAAGAAAACAGGCACACAGAATCCTAGATTATAGCTATAACATCCCATAAGAATATGCTTGTATAACCGTATAAATTTCAGCAGCATTAGTTCTGATTTGCAATGGTTTTCTTGCCTACAGCTGGCCACAGGTTGTACTGAATGAGTACGCTGTATTGTGAGCTGTGTTTGCAAAGCACTCAGACAAGAATCAGTACAGAAAAATGCACTGCCTTTAATTTCTAATCATTCATGAAAAAAAAAGCAACCAGTGAATTAAAATATTTTGGTTTTGTTGGTCTGTCACATAACTCTGTTCCTTTACAGTCTTTTCATGGATTAGCTAGACTTCTTGTTTAAATTCTGGTTTTCTTTTACTTCCTTTCCAGTTATTTAGTGAGCAGCACACCAACTAAAAAGGACCAAAATTACATTATTCTGTTACGGATGGATCTGAGTAGGGATTTGATGTATAACTGTTGACGTACTTTTCTGTAGTTCGAGAAAAATGCAAGAGGCAGGGAAAAGTAAGAGCCAGAAAAAAGTGATTAACCTAATTCAGTGAATGCATTTGTGTGACATTTTATCAATGGAAAAGTGCTTTTTGCCACTTGGCAAGGAGCAATGGTCTTGCATCAAACCCTGCCACTAAAGAGGCAACTTCCTTAATTTCATAGCTTGCTTTAGCATTGCTTTCAATTTCAGACATTGCTTAGCCTCTACGCCTCTAGGAGCCAAAAACAGCTAAGTCCCCTTTCTATGATTAAACAAAAAGAAAGGAAGTCAACAAAGATGTGAAAAAAGGTGTTTTATATTGAGTTATTACTCTGCCTTGTTCAGTAGAAAATGAACATGACCTGTTAGACAGATTTTGCAGGCTGTTTCTATAGAGACTAATAATGGTGAGACTTCCAGATGTATCTAATTAGAAACCAAATGGTTTATTCACTCTTCCTTTTTGACAGCATGTTATCACTGTAGGACACTGTAGTTTTATATCACTTGAGACATTTTTGTCTAGTCACCATTTATGCAGATCTGTACTAAAGACTTCCCTGGCAGATGTCAAGCTCTTGCGTATTTACTTCTTTCGTTTAGTTTAATTTCTTAAGAAGCCTTCATCTATTTTTGTAATGATCTAGACCACGAATAAAAGTTCATTTTGCTGCTTAAAAATTTTTTCTTATAAGCATTTAACTCCCAGACTTTCAGCAAAAGATCTTTATTAATAAACTGGTTTGCTTGCTGGAGGTGGGAAGAGGAGGGACAGGTTACTTTTCGATTTGTTCTCCCCAATTTAAACCTGGGTGTCCATCTTCTCACGCAGTCGCCTGCACTCCAACAACCTCTACTGCGACTGCCACCTGGCCTGGCTGTCAGACTGGCTGCGGCAGCGGCCCCGTGTAGGCCTGTACACTCAGTGCATGGGCCCGGCACACCTGCGGGGCCACAATGTGGCTGAGGTCCAGAAGCGGGAGTTCGTCTGCAGTGGTAAGGGCAGCGCTTTGCCTCCTCACATGTTGATAACGTTTGCATGATTTTTTATTATTATTACTATTATTTGAATGAAGCTAATCATTTTTATCAGTAATTTGTATCTTCTGTGGTGCTGCTTCTGTCATTACAAATTTTTTGTGAATGTGGCATAGAATATATAGCCTTCGTAACTGTGAATTATGGGGAAGTGATGGGAAATGAGATAAAAAGGTGCACCAGATAAAACAAGGCCTTTCATAATAAGGATTTGGGTTGTTGATATGAACTTTTTTAAGCTCTATGGATTGTTATTTTTCTTTTTTTTTTGCTATGTTTCTCTGTTTCTTTTCTGTTTCAGTTGAAAAAGTATTTTGAAATTCCAAATAAACTTCTGAATGCTATTGCTATGCTTTAATGCATTAGGTTGCTTTCTGATATGAAATGATGAAATGGCTAATAGTTCATTACTAATCACATTTTGTCTGTTTGGTATTTTTTCCTTTATTCTTGTCTCCAAGATGAGGAAGAAGGCAAGTTTTATCTTTTTTATACAAATATTTTTATACAAATATTTTTTAGCTCAGATTGCAAATTTTCTGTAAACTTGAACTACTGTTTTAGTTTCCCTCAAAGTATTGAAAAACAACTGGGAAATAACTGTCAGTCTTTCTGTGGTTCAGCACAGGTGTTTCTGCTAGTTGTTTTCCTGAGAATGCCCAAATCTCTATTGCCAATCATGCCAAAATTTACACGGATCTGTTTTCTGAATACAGTTTTTTTGCACAGCAAAATCTGTCATTACTGAACAGGTTCTAACATTGCAGTGTAAGGTGCTGTCACTCTAGCATGGCAGATGTTAGACATACTCTAACCATTACTTCTGCATTTATGTGTTCATAACAGGTCTTCTAGCAAGAACACATCACATATCTTATTTGTAAATTATATAGTTTTATAACTTGATCATTATAATGCTGATTTTGAGGAGGGAGTATAGCCACGTTTTATCCCTGGATCACTCAATTTTTGTTTAATAAATGCAGATGAAGTATTTTCTCTTTGTTAGTATAAAAAGGAATAACATGGATTTATTCTTTTTGGCAGCTGTTTGTACTTTTGTAACACATACATTAATGTGAAATCAAGTTATTATATTGTGAACTACTATCTCACAGGACTAACTTTTCAGTGAAGTAATTTTAATATTTGAGTTGTTATTTGAAGCTGTAACTAGGAACAGCACTGGCTGCAACTTCAAAGTGACCTTACTTACATTATCAGTGGACCCTTTCTATCTTAATATATGGCATTAAGTTTAGTGAGGGAGATCTGAGACAAAGTTGTCGTTTCATAGCACAGAAGTCTCTTCTTTTTGTTTCATGGGAATTTAAAACAGTCCCTAGCACTTTTACCTTAATAAAAAGGAAAGGGAAAAAAAAGTCTTCATGCCTTTCTCATGTTTTTGTGCCTTTTATATAATTACAAAACAATCATAAAGTATCATTAAATTAATTGAATAATGAGTGTTTTACTTACTATTATAAAATGTGCGATCTGTTTATTTGAATTTTTCAAATTCAGAAGTAAAAGGAATATATGGAGATATGAAAGATATAATCATGCAAATTAGCCAGCTGAGTAGTCAGAAAGCGCTAACTTAAGAGAATAAGAAGTCCCCTGAAGTAACACAGAAAGTGAGAGCAGGAGCTGTGAGGTCAAAGCTTTTTTGTATCTCTGTGTGTTTGGATGGAAAGCCATAACTCCAAAATATTCTGTAACTGATACATACAGTGACGAATAATGCTAATGAGTATTTGCAGGACAGAACATAACTATCAGAAGAGCGTCAGTGCTTCCATTGTCAAAATTCATTACTGCCAACATATACAAAACTTTTAAAAACCTCATAAATCAATACTTGATTTTTAAAAACACAAAAGAAATAAGAATACACTTTATACAATTTTGCATATGAGTTGCTGAAGAAATTGAGAACTTATGAAGGATCTAAAACAGTGGTCTCATTTTGTCACGTTGCTATTAATTAGGAATTTAAATTAATGTAATTTCAAAGTATTGATGGGCAAAAATGTTTTTCAGGGAAGCGTAAAACATGGTATTTTACTCTTGAGGACTACTGTTCTGTGCAGTTTTAGAAGAAAGTCTTTTCTTCTGCAGGTCACCAATCATTTATGGCTCCATCCTGCAGTGTCTTGCATTGTCCTGCTGCGTGCACCTGTAGTAACAACATTGTGGATTGTCGTGGGAAAGGCCTTACTGAAATTCCAACAAATCTTCCAGAAACCATTACTGAAATGTATGTAATATTACATTTTTTCATTCTTTAAATGAATATGCAGAAAACAGTTTGTCTTATGTATTCATTGTTGTTGTTTGTATAAATTCATACTTTATAATACGGTAAGAATTTTGGAGTGCACATTCAAATTCAGAAATAAAAGGAATATACACATATATGAAAATATTTAAGACCCATATATTCTCTTATGAGTTAGTTCTGCATGTATTACTCACAACCTATAGCTGAAACTGCATTTTGAGTTGGTTTTAAAATAATTCATGAATATTTACTTTTTTGAAATTAAATAGCTTCTTACTGCAGACTGTAAGCCCCTTTGTCTTCAGTGTTGCTCAATGTCACCTTCTTCAACAGACTCACTATTCAAGGAGCATACCTTTGCAACAAAATACAGCAATTTTTATCCTTTGTAATAACAAGTATTGCTAAAATAACATGCACAGAAGGCAAAACTATGGTGGTTGACTGCAACCTGTGTTAATACTGTAAATTCATGAATGGAAGCAAACATGCTGATAAGGTTGTGTGACATGGCATAAACAACAGCAGCAAAAAAATATGCAACTGCATCCCAATCAAGCAGAGTTAGAGCAAAAGTGCAATAGGGCCTGCAGGCTTCCCATAATCACATTTGTCAGCTCATTATTACTGCTGTTAAGACTGACCTGGCTGACCATACCTGACCAAGTTCAGTCATACTAAACAAACATGTCTTCTACTTTTCACCCTGCAAAGACTGTCTTCATTATCTAATAACTTGTATGCTGACCTTTCCTACTTGCATATGTATATTTATGTGCACAAAGGAAAATATTGCAGGAAATAGGGTACATGTCTCAAACACTCCCCTCTGTATTTCTGCTGCTAACTAGTAGTTGGCTGTGCTTACCAACTGCACTTCCAGTTGAGTGGAAAGTAAGGAGAGAAATGTACAGGAAAAGAAAGATGAAAAATAAGGGACATAAAGACCTTTGAAAAGCAGGAATAAACTCAATGGAAAAATTAAAAAGACATTGTGACTATTTGATGAGAACACTTGATCTTTGGTGCTTTCTTGTCAATAGGTTAAAGACCAGTTGAGATTTTGACAAATAAGTATTGTATGCCACTGGTTGCTTTTATATGATAAAACTCGTGAAATTTGACAATTTATATATCTTCCAAAAAAAATAGATTTTTTTTTTCCTTTGAAACACCTGATTTACTTTAAATCCTACTATTTTCTTAATCAACATGTTATTTTAAAGTAATCCATTGTTGGCGGTGGGGGGGAGTTAATTCAAGGCTTCTAGCTTTAAATAGAGTTGTTCAAAATGATGTTAATTTTCTTTTACTTTGTGAAGGAAGGCAAAATGCATTAAGGTTCATAATTTGTCCTGCCACCTTCTATTTTCTATTTCACCCTCATTCCTCTTTTCTCTCATCTAGAAGTACCAAGTCTTTTCTATCTTTCTGAATACCAAAACCTTCCTTTTCTTAATTTATCTCCTTTTCCTCCAAACTCCTTGTTTTCTAACTTTTTTACCTGCACTGACCAGAGTCAAATAAAATATTCCAAATGACAGTGAAATATCTATATAGAGCCATTTTAGTTTCCTTTCATTTACCTTCTGCGTTGTAATGCTGTCTTTCCTTAACTGCCAATCAAAATTGCACCATGTTCTCCATTGCATTTTCCATGAAGAGTCCTAGGTCTTTTTTTCTTAGCTGTTGCAGTTTTGTCAGAAACAAGATGTTTACAGATGTAATTTTATTATTCCATCTCTATTACATTTATGAACACTGAATTCCATTCTAAAGCTGGTCTGTGAAAGTCTCTACTAACTAGCTTCAACTTAAGACTCCACTAACATGTTATCTTAACTATAGGAAAGATTCTGATATTTCTATCTCAGACTATTATAAAATAGTTTTTAAAACTTTCATTTTTTAAAGAAATATTCTGCAATTGTTGCTATAGCAGTCTTTTATGATTTAATAAGAAAGAATGTCTGTATCTCATAAAATAATACTTTTTTCAGTTATTTTTATATGAAATTGTTTTATTTATGCCCAAATGGAATCTGACAATAACCATTTGAAAGGATGAGATCATGCTGTCACAGTATCATTGAGAATACTTAGGAGCTCCTGAACACAGGGCACAAGCAAATCCTGAAGGACATGGTGAGCACTGTACTTCCACCACCTTTAAATAGTTCCCACACACAAGACTTCATCATCTTAATTACAATTTAAAGCACATGCTTTGGCAGGAGCTTCTCAGTCAGGGAGAGAGGAAAACAGAAGCAATCTGGTTCCCTGTTGTTTTCTGAAGGATGTACAGTCTTTAACAACCAAATTATTATTTATTTGGTGATAGTACCATCATCACCAGGTTTCTGTGCACAACATAGGAAAATTGGCATTATAGTTCTATTTTACATGGGCCTGATATTCTGCGATCTTTTCAGTTTTCTTTTCATGCTTTTCAATCTTCTGCATTTTCAACTTGTCTTCTGGTGTTTCTTCACACACTTCATTGATATAAGCATTTGAAAATTCTGTAGTACTTTTAAATTTCTTTAGTCTGGACAACTTTCTCTCCTCTTTAACTGTAATTGTCATCATCTGTTTATGGGCAGTATCTGCAGAACCCAGTGTTACCAGCATTTCACGCCATGCTTCAGCCAACATGATGGCTTACAAACATATTTTACATCTTCTTCTTTTTATTTTTTCAGAGAGTTGATAAATTATATAAATTCACATAGTGTGCCAAACATGCTTTAAATGGAATATTGAATAACTTAAGTACTGAATATTTGCAGTTTGGATTGAGTATAATTTTGCATGTCAAAACTGTGTGTCATCTCTTTGAAGAAAAGTAAGAGGAAAGGCTTTGTGTTTAATACCTTATACTGATGAACATAATACTGATGCCATGACTTTGCGTTGTCTTGATCATTCTAATGGACAATTGTTTTGGGATGACATTTTAAGACATGAGGTGTTATCTGCTCTGCTGATGGCTACTGCCTCTGTAGCATGTACAAAGAGACCATGAGAGATAGCAGCTTGCTCCACTCTGCTCTGCTCTGATTTCTGTCTCTGAGTTTAGTGTAACAGCCTAAACTTCTGAGGAAAAGGAGTTTACAGTGGGAGTTAAGTGGTTTACAAACGAGCAAGTATTCTGTGATGGTCGCAGCAGAAGGAGGCAAAGCCAGTTACAAAACACTGTTTCAGACTCATGTACTTGACTTCACCCATTGGTGCTGGGGAAAGTGTTTTGTATCGTTCTGTCTGGATTCTCAGTTTTTACAAAAATTAGAGCTAATAGTAACAATTCTCATTGCGCGAAGTCAGTTAGCAGGCAGTGCATTCCCTGCACAGTGCCTCTTGGGAAGATGCTGTCAAGAGCAGGACTGCTTATCTCCAAGTAGCTGCCAGGGAGAATGGAAGGAGAATAAACCTCTGATGGTCCCCTTTTTCTCCCTTTTGGTGTGATAAACTTCAGAGGAAAATTAAGAATTCAGTATCTCAGTGAATGTAACTTTTAATCTTTATTGGCTTAATACTATTCTGTTTGTACATCTATTCTGCAAAATTAATTCTTCTATTTATTATCTAAATAAACTCACTGCTAAAAATAAGAATACCTACGCTTTTCAGGGTAAGTCTAATCAATATCATATTACTTAAGAAACATTTCACATTTGTATATTATAACTAAGATAAGGTCACTTGAGAACCAAGACTCCTCCAGTTTTAGTGCTTGTAGTAATTCTAGAGAAAGTACAGAAATGACAAGTAACCTCTCTAGGCCATCTTTAAAGGTTTCAGTTCATGAGTGACCTGCAGGAAATAATTTGGGAATATTTCCCATGCTTCTATTATTTTACTGTCTGTATTTGTAAGCATTATGAAACTAAAAACATTGTCAATATATATTATATATTAATAGCCTTCAAACTTTTGGTTTTTAATATGTCTTATGTAAACATTTTTTCAACTAAAAAAAACATGAGATAGTAGCTATTCACTTACACGTATTAGATATTACTAGTCTTCGAGTTTTTGTTATTGAGTATGCCTCTCTTATGCTTTTTCCCGTGGTCTTAAGCAAATCATGACACAGTATCCATTAGAAACATCATAGAATCCTGGAATGGTTTGAGTTGGAAAGTACCAGCTCCCTGCGTCATGCAAGGGACACCTCCCACTAGATCAGATTGCCCAAGGCTCCATCAAGCCTGATCAGGGATGGGGCAACCACAGTTTCTCTGGGCAAACTTTTCTAGTGCCCCATCGCGCTCATAGTAAAGAATTCCTCCTTTTACCTAATCTGAATCTACCTTCCTTCAGTGTAAAGCCATTGTCCTTTGTCCTATCACTACATCCCTGATAAAGAGTTTCTCTCCAATATAAGAAGTCATAATATGAGTTGGTTTAGATTTATTGTTTAAACCACTTCCTGTTTCCAGAGATTTGTATGGAATGCTCTTTCATTGTCATTTGGTCTGTGAGCTCAACTAAAGTCCAGTGGACTAATGTACTTAGCACCTTCCTCTTTTGTCATGAAGCTCATATATTAAAGACATTCTGGGTCATTCTTAAGGTACAAAGCTATTACTTTAATTGGTTTGAGAAAGTATTGCCTTTCTAACAGTGATAGCATTTATCAACCTCTGTGCAGACATTGCTTCCACATTTTAGTTTCTCAGCACCATTAATCTCTTATCACTTGGTTGCATTTTAGAATTCACCTTCCATGTGCAAATTCTTCAAACAGACTGCAGAAATAATTCTGGATTCCTTCAAATTGAGACTTTTTGGCACATGTTCAAACAGACTATCAGAAACCCAGCAGCAATTTTATTAAACATACTGGTGCTTTTTCTCAGAATGGCGTGAGAGTGGTTTTTATTTCAAAAGGAGAGGCCAAAAAGCCATTAATGAACTAGGCTACCTTGTGAAAATGCTCTTCTTATTTTTGTCTGATTTTCTCTATGGCTTGA